ACACCCGCTCAAGCGCACCCGCTCAGCACTGTACCCATGCCTGCCAAATGGTAAGCACACCCGCTCACGCGCATCTTTGGTTTCTCATCTCACGGCGGCAAGATCTCAGAAGCTAGCGTGCGAAATGAGTAATCACATTTACATATATATAGTTATATATATATATTTACACATACACCTATCACAAGCGGTATTGACACCGCCCACGCGCCTCATGGATTGGCGCTAGCGCCGGACCGGACGCATCTCGAGATCACTAGCTGGAGACATGCCCACAAATGCGGTTTGACTTGTGCGCAGTTCTCTGATTCGTGGCTTCTTTTGGCGTATTCGGCTCTTCAGATTTTTTTTTTGTGAATCCGCGTGCCCCGCATGGCAGAAGAATCCGCTCGCTGTGTGCACATGTGGCTTGCTCAAGGACCCCCAAGAAGCCCTATGTCTTGGTCGGACAGTCCTCCCACAAAGCGGTACAAGGCCTTCTACTGGGATCAGACTTGTGTGGCCCAAGAAACAGAATGCGGTCCGAGGGCACTGCGTCTCGGCGCCAGGCGCTAGTCAACTTTTTTTCTGTCTTTGGTGATGTTTGGTGCTTGCGGCATTCTTGAGCTTGCAATCGTTTATGCGTTCCAGGACAGTCGGCTACACGGTGGCGATTCAGGATTCCTCAGACGAAGATGGAAGTCCCGAATCTCTGGTGGGCCCATTTGCGGATGGGGCTTCGGAGCTGCAGAGTGACTCTGAGAACTTTTTCACAGATGTGGCGTCTGATGTGGAGGGCGGTGTCGACTTCCTGCCGAATTTGTGCGCGGACCGGGCGCGGATGCTCGCGGACAGGGCGGAGACCCTGCGCGGAGAGGATGAGTTTCTCAAGGAGCTGTTGGACTGCAGCGTGCCGGCTTCTTCTGAGAAGCAAAAGAAGTACAAGTACGGGGGATGCAGAATTCACCCTTCGTGCAGTCTTCAGCCGCACTTGGCAATGGGCGGCAAAAAGCCGGGTGCCCTCAAGCTGCGGTGCTCAAAGTGGTGTAAGTTTCACGCGGAGCCAAAAGACAGATGTTGGTTCAGCTGTCAGTATCCGCGCGGCTTGTTGCATATGCTCCCGCCGCATCTGAAAGAGTGCTACAGCACTCTGGATATGGCTCTGTCCAGGGGGGCTGAGAAGTGAAGACCGCTAGGGGGCTCAGGCGGTCTGGTTCCAGACACGTGGGGTTGACGGGTTGACACGTGGGGAAAACAAGCGCCGTTTATGTGGACTTGCTCAGCAGCCTTCGAGAGCCTGACGTTTGGCAAGCCAGATTCGCATGCCTTCTAGATGCTTGCGGTTTCCCCCCTAAAATAAAGGTTTTGATTCGGGGTGGCATCCCGTTTGGTGGGGAAACTCCCCCTCAAAAAAGATGGTTTCTATTTGGGGTGGCATCCCTTTTGGCGGGGAAAGCTGTTTCTTTTAAAAAAAGGTTTCTATTTGGGGTGGCATCCCTTTTGGCGGGGAAACCAGGGCTGTTTCTGTGGACTTGCCCAGCAGCCTTCGAGAGCCTGACTTTCGGCAGGAGGATTTTCACGCACGGAAACCAGGGCTGCTTCTTCTCTCCCCCTCAAAAAAAGGTTTCTATTCGGGGAGGCATCCCTTTTGGCGGGGAAACCAGGGCTGTTTCTTTTAAAAAAAGGTTTCTATTTGGGGTGGCATCCCTTTTGGCGGGGAAACCAGGGCTGTTTCTGTGGACTTGCCCAGCAGCCTTCGAGAGCCTGACTTTCGGCAGGAGGATTTTCACGCACAGTCCTTTGAGTAGTGTATCCTTCCATGAGTGATTTGGTTAGCCCGGTGCTCCTGGAGGCCCACCTGGCCGCTCTCGCGGGCGCTTTGCAACGCACACGGTGTGCGGAAACCCGGGCGCACATCTTGAATGGCTGCGTTGCAAGTATTTTGGCACCCGCAGAGGAGCTCTTTGGCTTGTGCGCACACTGGGGCTCGGAGCACCTGATCTGCCTGGCCATCATCATCCATTGCCTCCACAGCCTCCGTGCTGCGTCTCCGGACTTCCACAATGTGTTGCTGCAGGAGGCCCCATTGCCACCACTTCCCCCAGCAGTGCCTGTCATGACCGTGTCCGAGATGCTGATCCGTGCGCACGGGCCAAACAGCGTGCGGGAAGCTCGCAGGCTGCGAGGTCACCTCGGACAGGCATCAGATGCTCTGCGCCACGTGTGGCTCGGCTTACTCTACGCGTAAGATTTTTTTTGCATTTGCATTTCACAGTTGGAGCCCTGCTGGTCTTCATTTTTTTCCCTGTCGCCCGGGGGTCTTGCAGGCCACACCTATTCAGATGCTGCCGCATGTTGGAGGCGCTGACCGAGGAGTTGCTTACCTTCTTTTCGGATGCGGCTTTGCAGCTGCTCCAGCACGAGTGCTGCCATTCGGAGCCCGAGCTAGCCTGAACTCGTATGCAGTCGCGGTCTGGCATGCGCTGGCCAAACAAAGAGATGGGACCTGTTGAGGTTTTGG